TTTCGCAAGCGCAATCTGGCTTGCAGACGTTTTCTTGAAAACTCGCTTGCGCGGCTTCAGGGAGCCATGCGTTCTTTCTCCCCAAACGAACATGAGGATCTCGCTGAGAACTCCGCCCGTCACCGAGCTCACCAAGGTCACCGTCTGTTGTCGGGAGATGATGTCTTTGGCCACAGCCTTCTCCTTGAACGCGGCTTGGAGGTCTGCGATTGAGATGTTCTCCCGGTCCGCAAAGTCCGTCGTCGCCATCGTGCGAGTCGACAGACAGGATACAGCCGTGAACCTACATGGCAGTGTTGTCTTTCATGTCTCTATAAGCAAGACTGCTTATATATTCTCTGGAAGACGCTTCCTGTGAGTAACCTTTGTCATTGCTTGCCACATATATATGTTCGTCGAAACCCAGCCTGACCAAGCCTTCCTCCGGCACGTGGTCCGCGTGGATGCACCACAAGAGGGCACCCCCGACCCTCCTGACCATCAGCTTCTCGCGAGTTGTTGCTGCCGTGAAGATCCAGACGTCGGCGCTCGCATCGTGTATAGTTGAGATGAACCGCTGGTATCGGCTAAAGTTCAAGCCGCGCATGTACATAAAGCCTGCGTTCTTTTGCAGACGCCTCTCATTGGCACCTGTCACCGCCATGAATTGGCCGTTACATGGCATCTCCTGCTCCCAGGTCCACTCAGGAGGCAGCCAAGCCATTTCGAAGGCGGTCATGGCACAGGCTAACGAGGTTATTTGCTTGCCGTTGCGAGACAGTTGATCTCTGCAACCAGCCCGGCAGCGGAAGGAAATGCCCTGCTGCCGGTAATCATGCATTGCAGCAATACGGAAGCTCCAAAGCAAACACCCTGCATGCATACAGAGTCCTTCGTGTCCTGGAAACACATGACAAGAAACGACCTGTTCTTCTGCTAGGATAATAGTGCCACTATACTTCTATACTGCTACTAATACAACTACGTACTATTATTTCTGGTACTATACACTACTATACTACTACTACTACTACTACTACTACTACTATACTACTA